ACCTCCACGGAACCTAGAGTTCCCAAAAGCGACTAAGGACTCAGTGCTCACATCGGCAGCGAACGCGGCGATAGCTCAGGCCCACCAGACATATCAGCATGCTCTGCCATCTATCATCAGCGAGTTCATCCGCCAGGAGAAGCGAACTGGCTTCATGGAAATGACAAAGGGTATCATTGACGTGCTTAGGCCGCCAGGGAGCCACGCCGGAGAGCCTAACACTGTGCCAATGCCACCGAGACACGTCGTGCCGGGACCACGAACAGGCGCCAGCCCGAAACAGCGAGAAGGGGCTCAGCTCGAGGCATTTCCACCACCAGTGCCACCGAAGCTTCACAGACCATGCGCGCGAGGAGCGGAGTACTCATCCAGCAGCCCAGTATACGTTGCAGATGCTCAGACGAGGAACTGGCGTAATCAGAATAATCGCTACTTCCGAGTATAGGACCGGAGAGCGGATGACTTTCAGCCGGAGGAAGCGTATGCCAACTTACGAGACGCAGCGTACCTGAAGCTCGAGCGGTGGAACGTCAAGTTCGATGGCGAGGACGCCATGAATTCTGTCGAGGAGTTTGTGTTTCGGCTGGAGTTCCTGCTGAGGCAATATCAATGCCCGTGAACATTGATATTGTGGCATTGGATGCACGTACGGCATTCTCGGGTCGACAGCTGGATGCAACTGCGACACGCTCTCTTAGACAGGTTCCGGGGCTATCAGACGGAGCATGATGTGATGCAAGAGCTTCTACTACGAGAGCAACAGACCAGCGAAGGATGGACGATTATATCCATCACATGCGTCAGCTCGCCGCGCGATTCCAGAAGCCGCTAAGAGACCGCAAACTGGTGAAGATTATAAGGCGTGGTTTGAAGGAAAGTCTGGCAAAATACATTTATGCTATGGATGTACTCACCGTAGATGAGCTGCGCCAAAAGTGCATAGAAGTGGAGAGGCACATTGGTCGCAGAAGCCGGACTGGGTACGTGCAGCCGTCGCGTTACTCGCAAGGAACGAAGCCGACAGTTCACGAGGTTGAAGAACTGGAGGAGGCCTTCGTGCGAGGCAGGACATCATCCCGGCTAGTGTGCTGGAACTGCAGGCAGTTCGACCATGTCTTTAGAGACTGTCCAAAGAGCGGAAAATAAAAGATGCCATGTAGGCTTGTTTGTTTTGCATGAAATATTTGTCATCAATTACTTCTGTTAAGATGTTTATATCCTTGTCTGGATATGGTAATATAGCACTTTGCATTTGTTGTCCCAGTAACATTCGGAGTAAATACGCAGCTCTCCGACTAGATGATTTTGAACATTTGCTTTATGAATACCGAATTTAACTTAAACATATTCTTTTACGATTTCTTTTATATATTATGCTTTTTTTTTGTAATTAATTAATATAAAATACCATATGAATACTCATATATTTATATTTATATATTCTTAATTATTTTAGTATAATATAACTATCTGTTACAGCACTTCTTCCACTTGCCGAAAAACATATGTCAGGCCCCTTCGTTATTAATTTGAAGCTTCGAGCGTTATGCATAATAATTATTTTTGTTTATCTGTCACCCTAGAATAAATTATGTCTAAGTAAATATTTGTCTTTTTTGGAGCCATGCATCGCCTGAGGGAGGTGACTTAGTCAAAACCATACTGCCTATAGGGATCCTGCCAATATCTATATTTTAATTGGCCTTTTTGCAGGATCATGGAAGGGTGGGCATATGCACATCATCCTGTCATTTCATTTTCTAGTCTTATTGTACCCCCTAACCCGTATTCCTCTCCCCCTTCCTCATTCAGTACGTGAATTTTAATGAAGTAGATATATAACTTTGGGAGCAAATTAACCAGCAGAATCAGTGAAATCAGTGCGGGTGCATGCCGACGAGCCACAGCCGATGCCAGTGCGCACTCCGATTTGGTTAGCCGCCCAACAGCACCTTGACGTTATTCGTTACAGAACACAAGCCTGACTCACGTCGTAGCAGCAATGAGAGTCGACCGTCCAGTACATCCAGCCAGAGCGGTCGATCATCGATTGCTGGAAGCTGCTCAGTGGGGCCACACAGATCCGGTACAAGTCTGGACTAATGGTATTCCACACGAGCTTAGAGGTACTGGATGCCAAGTTCATCCGAACCGCTGCCCATGACAGAAGTGGTGCTTATCCGGAGACGGGGATTGGTATTAATGGCGGAACTAGAAGAATGCTGGTGTCAGAGATTATCTTTTGCTTGGAGCATATGCAGCTAACTTACCAGGTTCCATGGAGAGTCGCCACGACTTCCACGTCCTAGTCAGGCAAAGGAGTGGTATTGGATACACTAACATACATCCGCGATCCCAGATTGGCTGAATCTGAGGTAGTCACTCACGAGATACGATCGAGGAGTACATCCAGGCGATGCTATAATTTAATAAAAGTAATAAAAATGAATATTAGGAATGTTATTTCCAGGATCATATACATGGAGAGACTGCCAGAAGTGTCCCATGGGAAGTCAGAAGAAGACACCAAGTTCTTAAGGTATATCTCTATCTGTATATTTCTCCCTTAGAGCGATTTTCGTTGTTGGGAGGAGCATTAAAATAGAAAAAAACAAGTAACAAATTAATAAATTACGTCCGCTCAAGTTTTATGTTATTGTCGTTTATATGTGTATATGTATATATGTCGTATATGTCGCATATTTGCAAAAGCAATGGAGTCCAGCTTTTCCATAAAATCGTCTCCGCTTATGTCATCATCCGCTGAAAACTCTTTCATCGCATCATTATCTGTAGTCTTCAGTTTAATGTATAATCCAGAATGCAATTAAAACAGCTCCATCATTCCAAGAGTTTTCACCACGATTTTATATTTCTCGTAATTCGGGTGAATAACTTTTAAATTCACACCCAAAATGCGCTTTGTCCATTCGAGTGGCCACATCTATTGTTAAAGATACAAATTTTCCAAGTTTTGCAGTAATCGCTGTATGCCAGCATTGATGCGCTGTCCCCTTATGTTCACATAATGCATTATGTTACGGGAAGAAAACTGCGACATTGACATAACACTATAAATTAGGTTTAAATTCGGCGAACCCTTCGCTGCCCAAAAGCAAAAAGGGCCTGCCATCTGTTGTAACCATTTTATTAATTCACGAAATCAATGACTCCTGCACTTGCAATGTATTGAATTTTTTTTGGCGGTTCTTTTTTCTGTTCAGTGTTCGTAGAAAAACATTTGCGAAAAAAAAACGCAAACTGTTTTGGCCTGTGCATAGGGTCTGCTGCGTAGAGACAGAACTTTGTATGTTTTCTCTTATTCATTCTGTCCGACAAAACTGTTTTTTTACAAAAGAGCCGAAAGTGAGAATTGAAATTTGCGTCCAGTCCAGTACTTCTGACAATGAACAAGTTATGAACGCGGCGCAGTTGCAGGCTATTATAGCAACAGCAGTGGGCCCTTCGTTAGAGGGCCAAAGAGACGAGTTTAATAGGATATAACAAGAGCTCACAAGCCGAATACAAACGGTGTTGGTATTGGAACCTGACATATAAGTGTATGGCGATGTGACAAGGAAGCGGGTTGTACTTTGCGACGAAACTGTCGATGATGTAATGTCTCTCTCAGAATTTGATGGGGCTCAAGAGCACTATGTATCTTGGCTTCAAGTGACAAAGGCTGCATATAGACTTTATAGCAATCATAAAGGGAGCTCACGCCATTATCAGCCGAAAAAAATATGGGGCACAGCTGACAACACACTGGCAGCTTTCGGCACAAAATTAAATTTTGATGGCATTATAGCTAAATTAGATTTTACGTCTGCCGAAAAACGAGCGGTTCACCTGATTGAACAGGAAATTGGCACACTCAGGCAGGGCAACATGACCCTCATACAGATTACGGCGAGGTTGAAAAAAGCTCACCTTGTTAACAACCAAAAATATTCGAATTCGTTCTCCTCTTTAAAGCGAACAGACCTGATTTTTTTGTGCTCTCCGTTTTGTTTTGATTTTAATAAAACACCGGCGTTTTAATATTTATATTGAAAATATTTCCATTATTCTGTTTGCCTTATCGGTTTATTTTTTTATTTTATCGCGAGTGCATGCTTGTGGCCTGTGCATTTTATCATAAAAATATTGTTATACTTTTAATTTGTGTTCTTGTGCATTTTTGTTTATGCGCTGCGGGTTGTTTATGTTTAACTGCACATCGTCTCTGGTGGTGTGCAAGGATTCGTGAGCAAGCAAGCAATCTTTTTTTCAACTTGTGCTTTGATTTTTTTCTACTTTCTGCCGCTGTTGGTGTTCTATACGCTATTAATCTGTTACGTGACTGCTTGTTTCTCGGTGGGCCGCGCCGGCTGGCTCATCAGTTCTCTGTTGTGCATCTTTCTTAGCCGGCTTGGTCAAGCTAGGAAATGCGCACGCAGATTCTTTGTAACGGTCGGGTTCGCGTTTACAATAATCTGCGTGGTGATGTTGCACTTAACGTTATCGGCAGCATCGATAGTTTGCCTAGTTGGGTGCGTTCTTTATTATCGGCCATGCCGATATCGTTTGTCATAGGGTCAGAGTATCAGGGGTGAAGCCGGGCACAATTTATTGAATAGTGGCAACGCCGGGCTTGCGATCCACGGCGCCAAAAGGGGCGATTGCTTTTGGCCGCCCGATTCGGTCCTAAAGAGATTATAGGGAGAGCGGACCGCCTGCCCTTGGCCTTCATTTGGGCCGTTGACCCACAAATATAAATACAGCTGTGCAGATGGGCAGCAATGGAGCCCGCCTCGTATATGTATGCGTGTGCCGAGATTCGGCACCGATGATGTTGCTGCCCAAATGTACAGCAAGGAATTCGATTTGATCAGCGGTCAACGGCAGGCGTGCCAGCTCGAAGCGAGCTTAAAGTTATTTTTGTACATGTCGGATAAAAAAAGTCCTACAAAAGTTTTCCGCAAATTAAAATTAAACAACGAATTTATTTTTGCCGTTTAATAATAAAATCTGAATTTAAACATTGTGTCACAATATACAAAAATTAGAAAAAACTTAAAACTTACGTGCGACACGAGACGAACAAATAAAAATAATAAGACTATTAACAAAAAAAACGGCTCCGGCAACGAAGGGACCAGCTCTCGGACCAGAGAGGCCAACAAAGTCACCCCCGGCCAGTTTTCGACGCTGCGGCGCACCTCATCCATACCCTCGGGCACGGTCTACGACGCTACCTAGATGGACAGGCCAAGAACCGTGGCGATAGTGAGTCAGTTCCAAGTGAGTCAGTTCCAAGCACTCCCCTCCCCAGACTCAGCCCAGAGAAGGCGTGCTGCTGACATCAAGCTGCAGTTGTTTTTCCTGTTCATAGATTAAAGTTTTTTTTTATAAATTAAGTCATATTTCACTCACTCACTTTGCGTCTGCCTTCTAAGAAGAAAAAAACAAAAAACGAAGTAATTTCGAATCCACACGATCCATACATATATATACCAAAAAATCATTTATTTCCATCATTCTTAGCGCCCCAGAGAGCTCTTTAGGTATGCTAAGTGTACTTAGGCGATTTGATTCATACAAATTTCTTTTTTATATAAGCTTCTTTATAACATACCATTTTATTTCAGCGTGACAACAATCGCTCAATTTAATATTTATAATATTTGTTCTCCCACGTTGTTCCCAACGGCGGTTGGCACTAGCTTTCGGTGTCGCCCTTTCTTTGTGTTGTCCGGCTATAAAAGAATTGTAATTTTCGAAATTAATACATATTGTCCATAATTATAAGAATATATAAACAATTATGCGCACCTGGTGAAGAAATGTCCACGTGTATGAGAACGTAAATAGTTGAGTGGAGATAGCCAGCAGAGATACCTGCAATAGAAGTTATATTAATTGTCAATAATTATAAGAATGCACGAATAATTATACGCACCTGTGAAGTTGAGGGAAATGTCCGCTGGCATGAGATTGTAAGTGGCTGCAAAGATAAATGCAGTAAGAAATGATATTAATTGTTATTAATTTCAAGAAAACGCAACCAATTATATGCACACATTGAAGGAAAAGAATGTCCGGCTAAGGTTAAATTGATGGGGAGAGTGGGCATACCTGCCGACACGGGCTGATGCAGGCCATCTAGTGGCCAAAATGAGGGAGACGAGATCAGGTGATCGTCTCAGGTAGGGCGAGTACGCTGGGTCCGGAACCGGGACCCGATCTGGAAGAGTAAATTGTAAATGGTGTTTTTTTGTTAATTTATATTGAGCGTCTCACTTTTAGCGCGGCCCACCGATAAACAAGCAGCTCCGCTACAATATGGCGCCCAAGTTGGAGAAGCACCCGGCTTCTTTGAAGTCGGGGGGCAGATATCAAAAAAATAAATAAAAATATCAATGCAGGTACAAGGAAAAGTTTCCCTTGGCTTTAGGATCCACGCCGCTGGTGTCTTATGTGGCACCAGTAGGTGGCTCATAATCGCGCAGCGTGTAGTGGAATCCGAGAAGCACGACGGAAGCAGAGATTACTAGGATATCACTGAGCATAAGAAGTTTCTCTTGTCGTGGTTGATGGCGGAAAGTCACGTTCGCATGTGGTGATAACCGCGATGACAAAGGCATCTTGTGATAAAATCTGATATTAGGGTATGTTTTGGTTAGCTTTTGTTTAATGTTTACTATTTGTTTTGCCCCACTCTGTGTTAGTTTAGTTAGTTTTGTGTTAGTTAGCTTTGTGGTCTATGTATATTTATTTATTTTTTTTAATATAAGTAAGATTTGTTTGTAGATGTTTATTTATTTAATAGGAATTATTTGTGATGTTTTTTTTTTGTATTAGGGTTAGTAAGTTAGGTTAGTAAGTAGAGAGGGGTACGGTTTTCTGCAAGAATCAGTATGGCTGAAGAACAGGAGTCGGACTGGGCTTCTGACGCTGACGGAGCGTCGGCACTGCCACCGCCGCGTCCGGAAAGAGGTCTGGTGAGAACGCCAATGAATTTCCGCAGATTTCAGGAGCACCAGATCCCGGCGGAGGGTCATCTGGTAGACCTAGAGAAGGAATTGGCGCAACAAGATAGACCTCCACGGAACCTAGAGTTCCCAAAAGCGACTAAGGACTCAGTGCTCACATCGGCAGCGAACGCGGCGATAGCTCAGGCCCACCAGACATATCAGCATGCTCTGCCATCTATCATCAGCGAGTTCATCCGCCAGGAGAAGCGAACTGGCTTCATGGAAATGACAAAGGGTATCATTGACGTGCTTAGGCCGCCAGGGAGCCACGCCGGAGAGCCTAACACTGTGCCAATGCCACCGAGACACGTCGTGCCGGGACCACGAACAGGCGCCAGCCCGAAACAGCGAGAAGGGGCTCAGCTCGAGGCATTTCCACCACCAGTGCCACCGAAGCTTCACAGACCATGCGCGCGAGGAGCGGAGTACTCATCCAGCAGCCCAGTATACGTTGCAGATGCTCAGACGAGGAACTGGCGTAATCAGAATAATCGCTACTTCCGAGTATAGGACCGGAGAGCGGATGACTTTCAGCCGGAGGAAGCGTATGCCAATTTACGAGACGCAGCGTACCTGAAGCTCGAGCGGTGGAACGTCAAGTTCGATGGCGAGGACGCCATGAATTCTGTCGAGGAGTTTGTGTTTCGGCTGGAGTTCCTGCTGAGGCAATATCAATGCCCGTGAACATTGATATTGTGGCATTGGATGCACGTACGGCATTCTCGGGTCGACAGCTGGATGCAACTGCGACACGCTCTCTTAGACAGGTTCCGGGGCTATCAGACGGAGCATGATGTGATGCAAGAGCTTCTACTACGAGAGCAACAGACCAGCGAAGGATGGACGATTATATCCTTCACATGCGTCAGCTCGCCGCGCGATTCCAGAAGCCGCTAAGAGACCGCAAACTGGTGAAGATTATAAGGCGTGGTTTGAAGGAAAGTCTGGCAAAATACATTTATGCTATGGATGTACTCACCGTAGATGAGCTGCGCCAAAAGTGCATAGAAGTGGAGAGGCACATTGGTCGCAGAAGCCGGACTGGGTACGTGCAGCCGTCGCGTTACTCGCAAGGAACGAAGCCGACAGTTCACGAGGTTGAAGAACTGGAGGAGGCCTTCGTGCGAGGCAGGACATCATCCCGGCTAGTGTGCTGGAACTGCAGGCAGTTCGACCATGTCTTTAGAGACTGTCCAAAGAGCGGAAAATAAAAAATGCCATGTACGCTTGTTTGTTTTGCATGAAATATTTGTCATCAATTACTTCTGTTAAGATGTTGATATCCTTGTCTGGATATGGTAATATAGCACTTTGCATTTGTTGTCCCAGTAACATTCGGAGTAAATACGCAGCTCCCCGACTAGATGATTTTGAACATTTGCTTTATGAATACCGAATTTAACTTAAACATATTCTTTTACGATTTCTTTTATATATTATGCTTTTTTTTTGTAATTAATTAATATAAAATACCATATGAATACTCATATATTTATATTTATATATTCTTAATTATTTTAGTATAATATAACTATCTGTTACAGCACTTCTTCCACTTGCCGAAAAACATATGTCAGGCCCCTTCGTTATTAATTTGAAGCTTCGAGCGTTATGCATAATAATTATTTTTGTTTATCTGTCACCCTAGAATAAATTATGTCTGAGTAAATATTTGTCTTTTTTGGAGCGATGCATCGCCTGAGGGAGGTGACTTAGTCAAAACTATACTGCCTATAGGGATCCTGCCAATATCTATATTTTAATTGGCCTTTTTGCAGGATCATGGAAGGGTGGGCATATGCACATCATCCTGTCATTTCATTTTCTAGTCTTATTGTACCCCCTAACCCGTATTCCTCTCCCCCTTCCTCATTCAGTACGTGAATTTTAATGAAGTAGATATATAACTTTGGGAGCAAATTAACCAGCAGAATCAGTGAAATCAGTGCGGGTGCATGCCGACGAGCCACAGCCGATGCCAGTGCGCACTCCGATTTGGTTAGCCGCCCAACAGCACCTTGACGTTATTCGTTACAGAACACAAGCCTGACTCACGTCGTAGCAGCAATGAGAGTCGACCGTCCAGTACATCCAGCCAGAGCGGTCGATCATCGATTGCTAGAAGCCGCTCAGTGGGGCCACACAGATCCGGTACAAGTCTGGACAAATGGTATTCCACACGAGCTTAGAGGTACTGGATGCCAAGTTCATCCGAACCGCTGCCCATGACAGAAGTGGTGCTTATCCGGAGATGGGGATTGGTATTAATGGCGGAACTAGAAGAATGCTGGTGTCAGAGATTATCTTTTGCTTGGAGCATATGCAGCTAACTTACCAGGTTCCATGGAGAGTCGCCACGACTTCCACGTCCTAGTCAGGCAAAGGAGTGGTATTGGATACACTAACATACATCCGCGATCCCAGATTGGCTGAATCTGAGGTAGTCACTCACGAGATACGATCGAGGAGTACATCCAGGCGATGCTATAATTTAATAAAAGTAATAAAAATGAATATTAGGAATGTTATTTCCAGGATCATATACATGGAGAGACTGCCAGAAGTGTCCCATGATAAGTCAGAAGAAGACACCAAGTTCTTAAGGTATATCTCTATCTGTATATTTCTCCCCTAGAGCGATTTTCGTTGTTGGGAGGAGCATTAAAATAGAAAAAAAACAAGTAAGAGGCTCTAGTCGGGAGCTCCCGACTTGAGGATACCCTGAATCCTCTTCTACCAACACCATATGCAGCTCGCGTTTCGCGTTCATTTCTTAAGTAGTAATAAAAATAAATTTAAAAAATAAATAGTTCCCTCGTAGGGTTCGAACTCGCAACAGACCACACTATTGCCGCCGCCTCTACTTAACGGCCACACCAATAATTGAGTCTTAATGAGAAAAAACGATTTAAAATAGCAGCACGGAAAACAATAGAATCGCAGTTTATTTAATTACTTTTGTGTATCTTAACCTATCTTGATGAAATTTTTAACAGTAGATCTTATTGTATTACAGAATATTTATATATTCTCAATTTCATTTAAATTGTGGCTTAAATTGCTAAAAAAACCGTACTTTAGTATTGATTTTTATCGATTACTTTGATAACTCAAATATCGGAAACAAACTCGTACTGCGCAAGCACTAGGAGGACTTACATTTAAAATTTCTTAAACCGAATATATCTACCACCGTTTTGGCTGGACTATTACATAATGAACAACTGAAAGATACAAATACTGGAAGGCTTGCATTTTAAAGCTATATTGCGAAAGTGAACAAAAAAATATAGAAGCTTCTGTCGGAAATTATTATGGTTATATACGAAGCAAAATTAACGATAGCAACGATCTCCTATATGCATACCTACAAAACTAGCATCACCACGAAAAAACCGCCCCATTGAAGCTGAGTTTCTTGCAGTTCTTCGCACAGCGATTGCATTCCTTCCTGAAAATGTTTATACGTTTATATAAATTACAAACCCAAATTATTGGTGGTCTTAAAACACAAAATTGGGCGCCTCGTGGTGATAGTTCATATCATTTTTTGCAACTTAACTTTAAAAATTCTAAAGGCTAGATTAAGCCATGGTGGCGAAGTGATGAAGCAATCTTCTGTGGCTGCAGATTGCTCTTTGGCGACAACTACCAGCTCTCCCATGGTCACGTTTGAAGGCGATGGTGCGCGCTTTAAAATTAAAACGGCTTTCACCGCGACTAGAGTCGTCTGGAGCTCTGCTGTCGATCACAGCAGACTGCCTACAGTCCGTAGGAGTAGATGTTTTGTAGACTTCATACCTTTCTCACACGATCCCCGATCCTTTGAAAAGACAAAATCGCGTTTGGAGCAAGAAAATCTATTGCACAAATAAACGAGCAAGTAAGGATATCTTGCAGAAACTTCCCTTTCGCAGAAACGTGAGAATAGTGCAGCTCGATAATGCTTTCAAAACAAAATATTTTGACTTATAAGATCCAACTGTTCCACCGATCTTTTCTATAGCAGCTAAATGACATAGTTGTCCAATGTTGACCATAATAGAACTAACAAATCTCGAGTTTGCTCAAGTTACCTTAATAAAAAAAAGGTTTCTATAGCAGCTATAGGATATAATGGTGATGGTGATAAGATTTTGTACACACGTAGGGGGTAAAGTAAAACTTATTAATGCCGAATTTTGGTTAGATACCTTAATAAAAAAAACATTGTTCATATAAGTACTTCATTTCGATCGATCGTTTCTATGGTAGCTATATGGCTTAGGGCTCCGATCCGGCCAGCTTCGACTTATAAGTTAATACCTAAGATATAAAAAATAACAACACTTTTGATATCCAGCTTACCAACATTTGGTTCCCGCACGTGGCCATTCAACGTGCTGGGAAAAGCTGAAGCAAGGTGTCGCGTATGCAAATTTAGGTGCATAGCAGGTCAACGCGCTCATGGGACAGCCAACCGTGGGATCGCTAAATTGGCATATTTACCGCACATGCGAATAATTGTGGAATCAGCGGAATCAATAAAGTTCGTTGGTTCCCAAGAAATGCGAACCCCTGCGAAATGCAGAATGGGGGCATTTCCACAGATGCAATAACACCAAGCTGGAGACGCCGACGCCGACAGCGGCGCTTCTTAGTTGGACTGAAGTTTCATTAGGGATTAATTAAGATATAAAAATTAGTTTATAACTGGAACTCAATGTAAGCACATAGTGCTGATTAATAATAAAAAAATTATATTTTTTTTATAAATATTACCATCGAATTGGTTAATTGGCGCCCGAACAGGGACCCGCGAAACTTATAAAAACAAAAAGGACCATAAGAAGTTCGTTCAACTAAAGCCAACAAAGGCTACAGTTTTTAAAGTTTTTCGCGAGTCAAACGTGTTATAGTGATTGGCCCCTTAGTAGGCTACCAACACAAGTTTAGTGCAAAAAGGAGGGACATGTTTAGTCCCAGCCACATCCTGTTCACAATAATATAAAATTCACATAGTGTAGAAAAACAAATAATCACGTAGTGATTACTAATAACAAAAAAAGGGGTTCACATAATAAATAAAAAAGTGACCAAAAAAAATTAAAAAAAAATCAACCACAAACAAAAACAAAAGAAACTACTAACTATAGTACGAAGCCTAGAAGAAGGCAGAGCAAAACAAGAACAACAAATAAACATCTACTACAAGAAGATCAACTCCAACTATAACTACTCCGAAAATACCCACATGGATTCCAGGATAGTTTTAACCTTAATGTTAGTCATTATTATCATTTATATTGTTAAACTACAAGAGCTTCAGCAATTAAGAATCACTATTATTAAGAAAAAAGAAAAAAAAAAACTTTAAGAAATACAAATTATATGAATGCAGAAGAGCTGATAATAGAATACTTGTCAACAATGTCACTAAATAATTTGCCCAATACGACTAACCCCTCAGGTCCTTCCCCACTTACTCTTTTTTTCACATCCCAAAAAATAGAACTAACCAACTTGATTGAACAGGTAGTTATAAACGCTGTTAGTTCGGTCATAGAAGAAGATGACGAGCCACAAATAGATTTCAGCAAAAACCTCTCAGATTCTGAAAAGGTACCAGACATAGTAAAATGTCTCAGGGAATTTTCAGGAAAAGCAAGTGAGTTTAACTTATGGAGAAAATCGAAAAAATCGAAAGTACGAAAGTCAGAAAAATTCACCAAAATACTTTGCCACTTGGAATACTATCAGACACAAGATTATAGGAGAGGCCGTCGTATCGTACGCCTCTAAACTGGACCAAAATCAGACGTTGCCTCATGCAACATTACGCAGACAAACGAGATATTGGTACCTTACACGCCAGTTCAAGGCAGAGATAATATAAACTCCTACTATCAAAAAATCTACGAGATTGTCTCGTTAATCCTGGACAAGATCGACTGTCTAGATTATAAGGTGGAAGCATTGCTTGCAATGACTAATTCTTATAGAGATAAGGCATTAGACACGTTCATAAGAGGATTAAACGGCAACTGGCCAAGTCTGTTAAGTGTTAATAGACCTACAAGCTTGCCAGAAGCCTTGAACATTTGTCTTAAGTTGGACAACCTAAATTTTAGGGCGAATCAAGCTAACACTATGTATAACACCTTGTCGCATAACGTTAGACGTGGTCCACAGCCAACATACTACAACAACGGAGGCAGACAAGTACCTCAAAGACCAGTACGTAACCAACACTTTTTCCCAGAATAAGCACATTTTGGACAAGGTCAGCCCAGATTCGTACAACAGCAACAACAATTCCCACCCTCATTACCGCCAGGGCGTCAACTTCCACCCACTCCGATGGAGGTAGATAGTTCCGTACAAACGCATCAAGTTAACTACCAAAATAGACCTCAAATAGCAGTTCAGCGTCCAAATACCACACAACAGAGTTATAGACAAACAGCTCCGCAAAATAGACAGAATAATCAAGCTCCGCAGCAAATGAAACGACCTCTTTCTCAGGTCACACACCAACCCAACAAACAACAGAGAGTTTACAATACAGAAGTTATCATAGAAGAAGAACAGGGTTATGAAAAAGAACAAGATTATAACGAGCAAGAGTATGTTCTAACTGATAATCAAGAAATAGAGGTTAAAATGAGGAACGAGAAAAAAATAAAATGTTTAATAGATACCGGCTCCAACAAAAATGACGTAAAACCTTCACTCATTCGGGCACCCATACCGAATGAAATATGCTTCGCAGCAAAGTCCATAGGAGGCAAGACTAATATCACGCATTATGCAAACATAGATACAAATCGGCAACGGAATAGGCAAAATTCAATTTTTCCTCTTATCAGAACTAGGTACCTTTGACGGTATCATAGGTCACGACACATTAAAAAATTTAAAGGCCTTAATAGATACACATGGAAACTATTTTACGCTGTTAGGAAAATTTTAATACAAAACTAAGGAACTCTCAATGGGACTTATAACTTACATAGAACTTAGACTTTCTCACTTAGAATGCCCAGGTCTCTTCGACGAACCGGACAGAAAACTCACCTTCGTCACTCAAGTTAGAGGTGAAATAAAAACTTAAAGCGATAATCCTGTCTATTCCAAGGCGTACACCTACCCTATGGCACTAAAAGAAGCAATAGATAGTCAGATAAAAGTATTGTTAGCCGACGGCATTGTTCGACCGTCGCGCTCCCCATATAGTTCTCCGGTCTTCATTGTTCCAAAAAAAGAAGACGCGTCAGGGAAAAAAAAACACCGCATGGTAATCGACTACAGAAAGTGAAACGAAATTACCATCCCTGACAGGTATCCAATGCCAGAAATAAATAGTATCTTATCAAATCTCGGTGAGAACAACTTCTTCACCACAATAGACCTCAAAAGCGGATTTCATCAAATTGCGTTAAAAGATTCAGACATCGAAAAGACAGCCTTTTCTATCAATAATGGAAAATTCGAATTCCTCAGAC